TACCATTAACGTAGACAATGAGAGTCACACTATGAATGGCAACTATGGTTTCCCTCACTTCCTTCTTCAACTTCTTCCCAAGTCACTACATGTGCACATACATACATACATACATACATACATACATAAATATCTATATATGGATAGATATGCTGCCCATATATATATATATTGCCTGTAAAGCTTTGGCAAAAGATTGTAATGTGTTTACAGAGATCTTTATATTGATGTTCTGTTGTTCTTTTAAAGTCAGTTCCACGCTCAAAAAAGAACAATTGGCTGTTGAAGTCTGAATCTGAAGACTGTTGATGGAACAAGGTGGAGAAATTGCAGAAGCAGCGCCAACCGCAGCAGTAGGTTCGACGGGCAGCATGGAATCGGCTTTTTGCTTCCTCTCCAGAACCCATCAAACATGTTTTACTGAGAAGACAACAAAAACAACTCGAGTGCCCATGTGTGCCGTGCCAAAGTTCTGGGCACGGCACTTGAATGCAGCCGCATTGGGCCAGTCGTGTTGTTCCTTCTTGAGCATGAATGCGAAACAGGTCCATTGTAGGATTCTCCTTCCGACCGTGTGAAGTCCACATGGGTGACTCCGTGTTTCGCTTGATAGTGGGTCGTACGTACAAAACTCTCTGAGAACACTGAACACTGTGGTGGTTGTGTTTGGAGTGCTCCTTGGCGCTCCAGGTCACCCGTGAGACGCGCCAGATCCGACCCTCGAGGTGAGAGGATCGGCCAAATTGCTGTCGTCTAGGGTGTGGTTCCTTCATGAATTCCAGGAAAAACAACTCTTGGGTCTCAAAATCGCATGATGTCTTCTACCTCACAGTCTGTGAGTCCATGAGTGTGGTGGCTGCAATGTCTTCTTGGCTGGTGATCCCCAACAACAAGGGGTGGTCAGGACATGAGGTTCATGGACTTCGTGGTAGGAGCACCACGAACCGGAGCGACAGCTAAGCTTTGCCATTCCGAGGTTTGGGTGGATCTGAGATCTGTGTTCGGCAAGATTTGGAGATCTGATTTTTCTGCTTTCGAGGGCGAAATCTGATCTGACTTCTTGGAACATGCCCAGTCACCAGGTGGTCAGTTGGCCAAGCAGCCCCAGAAGCTTCCTGCAATCCGAGGTTGCTGGGCTTTGTGGTCATTTCGGGTTTTGCATACTGTTTCGGGGGGAATCCACGAACTCAAACAGAGGCTGGTGAAGGGTTTCTCCTCATGTCATCAGGCAAGAAGGGCTTTCAGGGAAGTGGGACGGAAATGAACTCTTGGCGCACTCGACTTGCGGACATCGATTTATTTGGTGCCAAGTCAGACGTGCAAACCCCTTCCACGGAGTGGGGCAGCGGTGGGTTGAACAGCGCTGTGGAAGTGACTCTTGGCTTTGACAACCTGTGGTTTGACCTGAATGTTCTGCCTCTCCGAAGCCCTGAAATGTTTGAGATCAAATCCCATATAGGCTAGATGCAAAGGACTCTTTGCCAGCAACAGCTTCCCGAGGTTCTCACTTTGGTGACAAGGCATGGATTTCGGCGGTTCCTAACGCATCGCTTCTCCACCCCAAAGTGACTCTGGTACGCTTCTGAAATCTTTCAGAAGCAAGCGGGTGTCGATGCTGGATTTGTTTCAGGATTTGCGGCATATTTGTGAACCGTTGCGCTTGTTCTTGGATTTGCTTTAGCCCGAAAGCTCTCAGCTCTCAGCCTTCCCAAATTTGTTTTAATGTATCTGACTTGACAATGCTTTTTTGTTGAGTAGACTGTGTCACAGCGGTTCTTCTATGAGATATCCCAGCTCAAAGGTTTTCCCTTGTCAGGGGCCACTCTCACTTCACTACATTGCTGAACCCACTAACAGAGTGGCAGAGGAGTGCTGCGGAGAGCGACAAACGACATGCTATTATTGTGAATGCAAGACATAGGTTGCCTGACACGACTAATATAGACGAATAGCGATGAAGACATTTTGTGCCAGAACACAGCACAGTATCCTTTAGCTGGAAGCATAATTCTTTGTGCACCTTTTGAATGGCACAAGCTTCTCAAGATGATTTGTTGCTTTATACGGCCCCTCGAGCCCTTCGTGTGGGTGATTTCAGTTACAGTTATACCTATACCTATATCTATATCTATCTATATATATATATATTACTTTTTTTATTTTTAAATGAGAGGGAGGTGCACGGTCGTGTGTATGAGGAGGGCGATTGGATATTCCGCCAAGAACTTGGCCGCGTGAGAAAGGCAAAGTGCGGCTAACGATTGGTGTGACTTCAGCATCAAGAGTGTCAGACTGGAGCTTCATGGTCCAACATGTTTCAAGTGTCCAAGAATCAAGAGAGTCTCGTCCTTTCTTGCAGTTCTTTTTTCCAAAATGCGGCTGGATTCGGAAGGCTTCTTCAATGGTCCAAAAGCGCGAGAATCAGGAGTCCGTGTCAGGCGCCGGGCTCAGATTTCTAATGAGCGCAGAGTGCGATTGGATACACATCACTAGTTCTACAATAGGTATTCCTATATAGATAAATAATTGAGGCTTGACCGATTCAAACGCTTACAATTTGTTCATGTGTCTGTTCTGTTGCAGTGGGGAAGTACAGATCATGCAGTTTTGACCAGGTACAAGCAGTTCCGACCGCCTTCTTGTGACGCCCTCACCAATCTGTGTCTTGTCACAAGAGAGCGCGACAAAGCTTTGAAGCTTGGAGCAGTCGTCAAGTGTAAGGCAAAACTGGTCGATAGACGAGATAGAAAAAAGAGATTGCAATGGCTTCCAACCTACTAAAGATGGCCTCCAACCTACTAGCGATGGCCTCCAACCTACTAGCGATGGCCTTCAACCTACTAGCGATGGCCTCCAACCTACTTGCGATGGCCTCCAACCTACTAGGGATGGCATTTTGCTTGCAGAAGGGGGCCCCCCAACCTAGTAGCGATGGCCTCGCCTCCAACCTACTAGTCTCAGTCCATTCACACGGCCAAGGTTCTCTCGCATCAACTGCAGAGGAAAGCCCTCAGCGTTTTTCTTGGGATCGGATGGATTACTCCGAGGCAGATCTTGAGGCAGCCAAATCAGTACACCGCTGCATCAACTGGGCTTTGCATCGCAAAACCTCCACGCCAGATGCTAAAGACTCACAGGAAAGCCCTCAGCGAGAT